ATTTGATTTTCTTTTATTTTACCCTTTATTTTTATTCCATTTTATTATTTTATTTATTCTATTTAATCTTCTTGTATTCCATTTCATTTTCTTTTGTGATATTTAATTTTCTTCTATTTTACTTATTATCTTCCTTTTCTGGGAGCCTGGGGAGAAGGGGCACCCCGCGGCGCCGTGGCCATACCCCAGCCCCGGGCTGCTCAGGGGGCTGTGGGGTGCTGAGGGGCGGCAGCCCCCGCCGGGTGTCCTGCTCAGCACCTCGGTGGAATTAAATTACCCGTTAAAACGGGAGGAGCCCGGCCGCAGAGCGCGGCACAGCGCAGCAGGGCCATCCAGTCAGGGGAGGGGTTGCCTCAATTTTTAACACGGTGGGGGAGAAGAGCGCGACGAGGCGCCGTGGAAACAGCTGAAATACGCAGAAATCCGAAGCAAAAATTAACTTCAGCTCACAAAGGCGCTGGGTCCGGCCGGCTTTCACAGAGCCAGGGCTCCGGTGCAAGGCCAGGGAAGGGCCTGCTCCAGCCCCCTGCAGCGGCATTTTGAAGACCCCGCCAGCGCTGCCAAAAAAAAATTGCCTCTTTCCTCCCGCCGCGGCAAGCATTGTCCTCAGCCCTCCTCCGAGCACCCTTTCACAGCCGGCGGCCCGCAGGCCATCCTCCCCGGAGACCGGCTCACTGCCGGCAGCCCCTGCGCTGCCCCTGGCCTGCCGCACTCCGGTAACTCCCTCATTTTTCCCATTTCCAGCCCAGCTCGAGGGGAGTCTGGCGGAGGGCAGGAGCAGGAGCGTGGTTTTGGCACCATCAGGAGCCAGATGCCACCGGTCTGGCCCCGGGAGAGGGTGAAGCCACGCAGGGTCAGGCCGGATTCCGGCCGGGGGGCTCGGGGTGGTTTGAGCCGCCTTGGTTTGACTTGGGGGCAGTTGGTCCAACAGGACGGGCTGAAGGGATCTGCACATACTTAAGGTTTAAAGTCATAAAAAAAGGAGAAGTAGCAGGAAAGACAGCTGCTGGCTCAAAGGGAAATTTTCAGAAACATCAGAATGAAGTCAAATGCAGGTGTTAAGTCCCTGGGAAGCCTAAAAACAAACCATGCCGAAAGCGGCGCCGTTTCTCACACCCCCAGAGCTCCATCCCATCTCCCTCGGATCCTGCACACCGGGGGTTCTTCCTGTGCTCCCGCCCCTTCGCTCACACCGCCGGGGAGCTGGGTGCTCTGGCTTCCAGGTGCCCTCAGACTGCCCCAAGACAGCAGCCATGGACCCCCAGCGCATCTCTGCCCGTGGTGCTTGCAGCCCAGCCCGGGAGACATGCGGCAGCACCCATGGGTGAAGGCTTTGGCTCCTTGATGAGGGCCTCCCGCGGCTCCCAGCCCACTCAGAGCAGCGCAGCCTCTGCAGCTGATCCCACCCTCTGCTCCCAAGGGCAGCCTGCGGCCGCAGCCCCGGCACAGGGGAGGGCTGTTGCCCAAGGTAGTAGCAGCGTTCGTGCCCCTCCAGAGAGCGCAGTTGTTAACGCTTGGGTACCTACAGGGTACAGATGCTGCTCTGCCCAAGACTTGGCGTGAAACACTTGCAACCCCAAACCTCGGGGGTGGCACTCTCCTTTCCC